TGACAAGGCGAATAGGCGACCGTGATTTATGGTTTTTTTAAGGATCAAAATGTCCATGAGGTGAATGTTCGTTATATGACTATTCTGCAAGTATACGACATTATGAAAGAGTAATAGAGTGATGAAAATTGTCGAATTTCATGAGGATTATTGCAATTAAGTAAGCCAAAAGCCAGCTTAATTTAGAGCCACACAAATTTATCCTTGTTTTAGAGTATAAATTAGAATATGACCAAACAGATAGTTTTTATGAAAGTTGATTGATTAAAACGTTAGGAATCTTGATTTCGCTTGATCATCGTCTAATTAATTAACTTCGTAATTTCCTGTTCATATTTATATTTGCCATAAAAATTTAGATGCGATTTTATTATTATTATTTAAAAAAAAAAAGACACACAAACAGTATTATTGGATCTTTGGCATATAAGTTTCATCAGGCCACGTGGATGATTTTATAATAGCATACAACTACTTGTCCCTATTTGATGGAGATTAAAATTTAGATTTTAAGTTTAATCACATACACCTTCAACTTTTTAGTTATACGTCTCATCAACTTCTATCAAAATTTATTAAAAATCTAATTTTAATCCCCCACCAAGCAAGGTATATTTACTATGAAAAATCAATTATGAACTTAAGTTTTTATTTTAGACAAACTTAAAATTACTACCAAACATTTAAATAGACCATCCACACCACCACTCGTTCAAATACTAAACACCAAGTCAACACATTCAATACCTAAGTGTTTAAAAACATTACCAAACATTTAAATAGACCATCCACGCCACCAACCATTCAAAGACTAAACACCAATCAAGTCATCTCCTTCTGATAAGTGTGTTTTACACATTTATTTATGTCATAAAACATGAATAATTGTTGATAAATATGTTGGAATATGGCTTAATCCTTTATAAATTATGTTTTGCAGGACAACATTGATGAATATGGTCGAATTTAGGAGAAACAAGCAATAGTGACTAAAATGAAAGAAAATCAAAGTTCAGGGATCAAAGTGCAAGTAGTTGAAAGATGACCAAGAAGAAGAAACCAAGATGTGAAAGAGTCCAAGACCAATTTAGCAAAGATATAAAGTATTGAAAGAAGAAAAGTGAGAAAACATGTCGAGAAAATAGAGTTCGGGAACTAAAACGAATGGAACGAACTTTTACTCGTACTATATTATAGCATAGTTATTTTCACCATGTAGTCGCATGACATGATTTAGGGAAAAATTCCGATTTCCTTATATGATTTCAACTCTTATGAAAACATAATTTGGGATATCCTTTAAAGACCTAGGGCAATCCATAAGTAGTTTATCATGCATTACAATACATTCGTATAGCTTTCAGAGCATAATAGGAGGCAAGAAACGCGAAAATTGTTTTCAAGACTTGAAAGTTCAATTCAAAATTTAGCCCCTGTTTGATCCCCATTAAATTAAATTACATTACATTCTATTTTTATTTCACCTATTTTCGACCACACAATCTTCCATAAAATAATATTATACGTAAATCGAAAACTTTTCCTTCTTTTTCAACCACTCATTTTTCTAAAAAATACTATTCCTCACATTTTCATTTTCAGGTAATGGGGGTCAAACGGGGGCTTAATTGGGAGATGTTGATTCTTCAATATTTATTTTGTTTTCTCCTTTCTAATATGTTAGGTTAGATTTCATTGTGCTAGGAAAACGATCAACCGTGTAATATGAATTTTTAATCTTTAATTTTACATATTTGACATCAAAAAACACGTTTTTGAATATTGAATGATTTATATTAATTTTTTCTCTACAATTATTGTGCATGGTAATTGTGTGAATGTAGTGGCTTATTTTATGTATTCGAAAGAACAGAAATAAGCTCGACACGGTATAATTCGTCATAGGATCCGATAAGGGATATAAATATATCGTCATACCTTATGTGAATCTTTAAGTATTCATAAAAATACATGCATTCTTGTATATTCGTATCCGTCATAAAAATATGATTGAGTCATTTATGAGAGTAGATTTGACATTACTCAAGAGAAATTGTTGAATAAAATAGGAACGCTGATTTGTCAAAATTCAATTGTGCTATCAAAATTTAAAACTAAAGTTAAAAAATGATTATTGCCAAGGAATTCGCGATCCTAGTGCGTTTGTCATTCATTAGAACATATCAATTTTTGTTTAGCATAAATTACATTTAGTTACTTAAATTTACTCATTATTGTATAAGTAGATTGTTTTAATTATAATTTAGTCACAAACAGACACATCTTATTATTCTTGTTTTGATTAAGGTCGGGATAATTAAAATCAATCTAAATCAATCTCTGTGAGACGATACTTGGATTCACATTCACTTTATTATTTGTTAACGAACTATACTTTTGCGATAATTTTAAATTGAAAAGATATTTTTGTGAACACCTTCCATAGTTGTACTTATTTTTAAACTCTGCCAAATATTTAAATAGACCATCCATGCCACCACTCATTCAAATACTAAATACCAAGTCATCACGTTCAATGCTTAAGCATTTAAAAACATTACCAAACATTTAAATGGACAATCTATGCCACCACCCATTCGAAGACTAACACCAACCAAGCCATCCTATTCAATTCTTCTAAGGCCATACAATACCGTATTTGTGTGTGTGTGTATATATGTAACATTTTAACTTCCAAACCGTTCACTTCAAATCTCACAACTTCTCACCATGATCACCTTGACCCTCATCCTCTACATTTCCATTTTCAGGGTTCTTTCTATGCTTTTTACTTAACCACATTCTACTCCGCCGTTACCCAAAGCCATTGCCGCCGGGTCCAAAACAATGGCTGATAATCGGAAATCTTCCTCTAATCGGCCCGAAACCTCACCAATCCATTGCGGGCTTGGCCACCATCTACGGCCTCCTCATACACATCAAATTGGGCTTCCGACATGTTTCTTAAGGTCCACAATACCAATTTTTCCTGTCGGCCACCCAATTCCGGCGCCCAGTACCTTGCTTATAACTATCATGACCTGGCCTTTGCACCCTATGGCCCCTGGTGGCGCATGCTGCGAAAAATTTGCGTAGTTCATCTTTTTTCCACCAAGGCTTTGGATGATTTCCGCCATATTCGACAGGTAATCCTGTCCATTTCTCATTTATGCATATCACATGCTTTCATGTTTTGGTGGTCGATAATTTTTCTCTTTATTTTGGTTAAATGTAGCTTATAATTAAATCTGCAGGAAGAAGTATCTATTCTTGCATACGCTTTAGTGCAGGGTAGAAGGCCAATTACTCAATGTGTGCACCACCAATGTGTGGTGCTCGACCGACGCGTGCTGGGGGATGGGACCGGTGGTCGAGATGCAAAGTCCGAGGAATTCAAAACGATGGTGATGGAGTTGATGGTTCTTGCAAGTGAACTTAGCTGATTGTAACCCACGTTTCAAAAAAGTGACAAACACGTAAAAAAGTGACAAAAAACCAATCAAAACCAACACCTGTCACTCAAAAAAGTGACAGAAATTTTTTAAAAGTAACAAACAATAAAAAGTGACAAGCACTA